TGTCTGTCTATGAGGTTACCATACACTGACATCTTAATCCTTAGGGTTCAGTCCAGTTAAACAAGTATTTACTAAGGCACCCATTAGGAGGTATATGGCCTCTACCACTCTGACCCTAGGAGGAGACAAAGACAAGGAACCTTGTGAAAGAAATCCACAGGAAAGGAACTACAGAATAGTGCATGGTAACGGCTATGAGGCATTTTGAAATTTAAAGTATTATTACATTATTGTCTTTAGGACATTAGCAGTCTTTTAAGCATTCTGCCTATAAAATAAAAATGTGGTGAGTCTGGTAAATAAAAAATTGTAATTGTTAAATTGCTCTATTTCTAGTATTTCGATGTGACCACTGTATTTTTGTTTTTGTTTGTTTTTGATGAAGGGGTAGAAAGTACTAGAGTACAACTTTACTTTTATTTGTATATACTTGTGTACACATAAATGTCTTTCCTGAATCAGATTTATGGGTATGGCCAAAGACAGTAAAATGAGACCAACAATCTTTTCCACACAGGATTTGCATCAAGTCTGCTCTTCTGTGAGCGGCTTCACCTGCTGTTTAAACAGTCTGTTTTCTTTGTGGTCCTGCTTTTCAGACTCAACAGCTAGCCAGAGCCTCCGCTCACCAACAGCAAGCCCGTCCCTCCCAGCTGGATGGCAGCTGCTCGGGCGGCTGGGCCCGCTCTGCAGGACCTCATTGCTCAGGGTGCACCGCAGCAGGTCTCAGACAACACTCCTTCTGCCTCCTCAGCATGTGCTTTCCCCACCTCAGCTTCCAATTCAACAACCGCCCAGGAGTCCTGCTGTAGTCCATTCTCCACACACATCCTGCTCAGTAAAGCTGTACTGTGGAAGAATTGGTTCAAAACTCTTACATCGGCTGCATTCTGGGTGTTTGCCATTACTGACCTTGTCCTGCCACTCAATATTCTGATGGGCTCCTAAATGGTCTGAGTGAAACTGCTCAAGAAGCAGATGTGTTGTCTGTGGCAGGGCCCCTGTCCACAGGAAGTGTGCCTCTGCTTTGTAAGTCTTCAGTTCCATCTCACTGCAACGGGATATTACATTTGTAACAGACTCTGTGGACTTCCCAAAGGACATCCTTGATTCTGTTCTGTACTTCTTTGTCCACTAGCACATCACTGCACAATGTCATGCTTCAATTTAAGGACTCAGTGACAGCTTCCAGGCTGTGTAAACAATAAAGGTCTCAAGGCTTCTTTTACTAGTCTCTCTTTAAAAAGAGACTTTGGTAGGATTACATAGTGTCCTTGACCGCTGCACTAATGGTCAAACAGACTGACACTGTACTAGCTTATAGCACTTCATATTTACAGAATAACAGGTGAAAGACAAAAGTATCTATACTGGGCTCAATTCTCCTATTTGAGATTTCCCTATAGGAATAAGAAAGATGCCTTATTCTATCACATGCAAATAAGCCTCATCTCCTTTGAAATCCAGTACTTCCTCCTTCTAAGCTATATTAAGTATCAATATTATATGTACATGTTCTTATTGGTACTGCTTTATATAGTCCAGATACAAGTCCTCTGTCACATACATGCTTTGCAAATATCTTCTCCCAGTGTATGATTTGCTTTTTTCTTTATTTTTGCATTTTATTTTCAACTTTTATTTTAGATTCAGGGACACATGTACAGGTGCAAGTCTGTTACAATGGTATTTTACTTCTCTTAATGGTATCTTTCTTGATAAAAAGAAGGTCATAATTCTAGGAGTCCAATTTATCAATATTTTATATTTAATGTTTTAGTGGCCAGTTTAATAAATCTTTGCCTACCCCGAGATCATGATGATATCCCTCCCATGTTTCCTTCTAGAAGTTTTACTTTATTACTTTTAATATTTTAGGTATTGATTATTTTATATTAATTTTTGTATGATGTGAGGTGGGGAAGGAAAGTATCTTGATTTTTTTTCACCCAAATGGATAATCAATTACCCCAGAAGCATTTACTGATGCGACCCACCTTTTTCTACTAAATTTCAGTGGTGTCTTCACAAACCAAGTGACTTTTCAGAATTTAATCATTAAGGATAGCTTCTAGTTCTAAAAAGGACTTTAGAAGTTTTAAATTATTTGCTATCAGATTATAAACAAATATTGTAAGTAGGAACCTTTAAAATATTAATTCTTTCAACAAATAGCTAAATCTTACTGAATGTAAGGCACTATGCTATACAATGTAAAAGGCTGTATTAAGGGTTGGACGCAGTGGCTCACACTTGTAATCTCAGCACTCTGGGAGGCCGAGACAGGCAGATCACTTCAACTCAGGAGTTCCAGACCAGTCAGGCCAACATGGCGAAACCCTTTCTCTACTAAAAATACAAAAATCAGTTGTACATGGTGGTGGGCAACTGTAATCCCAGCTACTCGGGAGGCTAAAGTAGGAGGATCACTTGAACCTGAGAGGCGAAGGTTGCAGTGAGTTGAGATCGTGCCACTGCATTCCAGCCTGGACCACAGAGCAAGGCTCCATCTCAAAGAAAAAAAAAAGTATGCCCTCATTATCTAAGCAAATCAATTACATTCAGAAATATATGGAGCACCACAGACAATCGTATGATACAAGTTGATATGAGTTGTTTTTTATCAAGGGTGCTTTTTGTGCAGAGAATACTCTTCAGAGGCTTACTTTGATTTTTAAAATATTCAATTTATTAAATTTAAAAATGCAAAAAGTCAGTTTTTCCTTAAAGCTTTCAGATTCAGCTACAATTTTTTTCTATGTATGAGTCTAGCAGATTTTAGAAGTCACTTTTAAGAGATTTTTTTTTTTTTTTCCTAAATCAGTCTCTCGGCCAGGAGTGGTGGCTCACACCTGTAATCCCAGCACTTTGGGAGGCTGAGGCAGGCGGATCACCTGAGGTCAGGAGTTCGAGACCAGCCTGCCCAACATGATGAAACCCTGTCTCCGCTAAAAATAC